GATGATGAGATATAACAAATTTCTAACAAGTGAGACTTTCAAAACCCAGGCTGTTTTACTTGTTAAGCAATTTTTAAAAAGAACAAGCGCTTATAATCTGAGTTCAAAAATAAAAAAAACATTTACCAGTGCGCAGAAAAAAAACCGAAGGTCGTTTTTTGACAATGTTACGCGCTTTTTTCAAAACTGGTGTAGCACAATACGTGCAGTAAAAAGAAAAACAAAACTGAGGGGTTATGAATTTCATCACATTGCTAGACGGTTGACAGTGCGGCTTTACGAGTAAAATTCCTTCAGTAGTAGTCCAGGTCGAGGTTCACTTGGACCCCAGTAAGGATTTACTGAAGTTTGGATTTTTTGGGGTCCGGTTCAAGCTTCACGTCGGGTTCCGCGTTGTCGTTGGTAGTTTTAGTAGGAGCAATGCTAGGGCGAATTGCAGCTGCAGCACCTTTGAGTAGGTCCTTCGTATTGTTAGGATCGCTGTTAACTGACGTGACAATCTTTGGAAAGTCATTCGTGTCGTCTTGTTCGCTGGGAGTGGAAACGACGCGCTTGGCGATGTCCTTGGGTTTGCCATCACCAGTAGCAGCTTCAGTTGAGATTCGTTCTTTTGTCGTTTCTTGTTCAGACAAGAGGTCTTGGTAGCGAGTAGTAAACTGGCAGCATTCGTTTCGATACATCAGCGGCCTAGTGAAATGCAGGATCTTCACCTTCTGTCCTCGAACAGGAAGGACAGGGGTGGTGTCATCGGTCACCCAAATCGTGCCGGTCATGAGGTCTTTGTCCACAGAGTAGGGCAGATTAGCATACTTATCCATATTTCTGCGTTTATCAACAGTATTTGGTAAGTGTGGATTCTAACTCGCTTGTTGACCGAACTTACCGCTGTGAGCGTGGAGGGTGTTTCAGGGGGAAAAAAGTCCGTCAAGTGTATACGGGCTAAACGGAGTTTGTTGCCAACAACATGATCGCTTTTCCAGATGAATCTCCCATAAATGTAAGCGTCGTCCGTGGTTGCGGGCTTTCTCTGTACATAGTCAATAAAATCTGACCACAAAAACGAGATGTTTTTCAGTGGAAATGGGAGGGGTGAAAACAGCACGAAACGCCATTATACCTTTCCGCGTAGGAATGCGATACTGAGGAGCACTGACTTCACTCTCTCCACGTTCTTAGAGAGGCGACCTGTAGCTCTTGGGGATCGGGATTCTGTCGATTTCCATGGTGGATGCTTTGGGCTTACTCTAGGGCCTAGCAAATTCGATTGTGAGGCAAGAATGTGCAGACAATTCAAACGAAGAAATCGTTAGTATGGCGTGTGACATTTTCGAAAAGCTCCAGAGATCTCATTGTAATCAACTACTATCAAAATTACTAAGATCTCCGTTGTTTTATTTTACCCGAATGCTATACACTTTATTTTTGTTTGTGTGGGTACCAGTATCCGTCGCCAACGTATGCGCCACTTTGTGGTATCCGAATTTGGCTGCAAGGTCTTGAGAACGTGTCGTTTTTAGGCAGGCTACAACGGAAGACAGCGTAGAAGCTGGGCTAACCGTACACGTGACACCCCAACGTAAAGATGGTATAGTAGCCATTTTGGCGCTCCTGGTATTCCTTCAAGAAAAAGCAAAACTCTTCGAAGTGTAGCTCCCTGCGCTTTCCACCTGGTCATGACTAAAGCAAGCTCCACAGCATGCTATGAGTATGTGAGCTTGATAGGCCTTGGCATCAGCGTCCGAGCTAGCTTTATAGTAAACTTGTGGTGGTTCATTGCCACGATTCCTATTTAAATAATGATACTTTCCTTTCCAAGGTTTTGACCGTCATCACTAGTTTTCCAGTTCGTTTCCAGATTATTTTCTGGAGGCCATGATGTAGCAGGAATAGTTTCCCCAGTTTGAGTGACGAGCTGCACATTAATAAAATCTGGTGGACAGGGAAGGTCGATGATAGCACCACATCGAGCAGATATAGTTTTAAAGTGTCGAAGGACTCGCTCCGTATCACGTATATCCTTCCACGCCAGGGAATGCAACTTACACATTGTACCATTGGCTACTCCCCATTCCACGTTACCAATTCCATTGTCAAGCATTTGGGCAGGTCCTCCTTGCACGAAATAACCAAATAAGTTTGGGTAGTCTTTGTCGTTATAGAGCAACTCCAGTAATGTTTGTGGGACTTCTGGAACGGCTTTCCTCCATCTCAATACCACGGTGTTGGTGCGCATTGCACGCAATTTGGCGGTACATGCTGTCAAGGCAGCTTTATCAACATAGCTGGTAGCCAAAATGGTGGATTCGTCCATCCATCCTGGATCATCTTGTACGTCTTGAGCAGTTAGCTCATTAGTGATAGCTTCAATTGCAGCATCATTCAGTAATTGAAAATCTGGTTATGAGCTGGAGCTACCAGGATACGATGGTGGAAGCATACGAAATCTATCCAGGAGGCTTTGCTGAACTGGGCAGCTGTGAGCTCTTTGTTGAGTATTCAGGAAAAACACTCGGAATCGTCCAAAGAGGTCACGGGCGTGGATGATATCAGATTTGGTATCCAACTTGTACATTGCCTTACATAATGGAGTTCCCATGAGTGCCGCTAGCTGTAAGAAATCGCCGACCTTCAGATATAATGTAATCATTAGCTCAAGCAGCTTCAAAAGGGTCATAAGAGCAACAAGCCGTACCTATAATACAGATTTTCCGCCAAATGGAAGATCAAGATCGTACACTAATAGTAGTCGTTTGTCCATCTTTATCGAAAATACACTTTGCGTTTCTTTCAAGACATTTAGCCAAGAAAAACCACTCTCACTAGGTAGCTCATAAAGACCACGAAATAAATGTATCTTCGCTCTCCACTCTTCCGAAGGTCCAATAAAATGACACGAAGCTTGCGCTCAATGTCTGTCGAAATGCAGTTCTTTGCAATTGGGCTCAAGTCGGGGAGCGAGTTATAACGACCATAATCATGGCCATTGGCAATACTGAATTTAGATTTCCGTGGATTGTAGACACACTTCGAGCAAAGATGGACGCCCCCCCTACGTCTCGCACTAGTTCAAGATTCAGATAATATTTTCCCCGTCCGGCTGTAGCAGGATCTGAGCGTGTTTTCGAATAACATCGTTTGATAAATGTTCATAGTGTCTCTTAAGCTCTTCTGGTGAAATTTGAAATGATTCTGAAAGTAGAGGCAAAGGCAAACAAACATGTCGACTTTCCGGCCAAATAAGAAATTCGCAGCAGGAGGCACATGCGAAAATACAGCCATTCGACGGATCATTTGTGGCCGAGGACGCCTGGCAGCGCTCATATTCCAGTAGACCTGGCGGCGCATCCATAACATTCAACAACCGCTCTCTAAACGATTCATCGTCACGAATATGTTCGTCGTTGAAGACGAACGCATCAGGTTGTCCTCCACAGCAGTAATAGTATGCTAATGCCAGCCTCGGATCACTGTTAAAATTTTGGCCTTTCATCATCAGCGAAGGTTCTTCTTCAGAAATGTCATGTTTGTGCAGTATCAATTTTGCCAGCTTTTGCAAACGATCATTGATACTACCACGACTGCTTTTTTTAAACGGTCCTGCTTTTCTGCGCTCTGTTGGTCCGGCGTTCACGGCACCCGCCCTGTCCACGTCTAAAATAATTAGTGTATATATTAACATAACACATTTGTTCCCACGATAACCCACCACGCTTTTGTGCAGCTCTGTAATTCCGCATATAACTAGCTCGTCGCTCTCGTCTTCTTCTGATATGTTGTTCTTCTCCACTGATATGGATGGCACCAACACGTGATCTACCTGCTATCTTGTGAGCTGCTCGGTATTCACGCATGTACTGTGCCTTCCGTTAATGCTTCTGTTCCTGCAGTACCTCGTGTGATGCCCGAGGCTGTCCCTCCGCAGAGAATGCTTCGGATGCAGTACGTTTGGTCATCACCACAGCTAACATACCCAGTAAGAAAAGAATGAGTCCCCCCTTTGCCAACGGCAGAGCTCTTGGACCCCACTCTAGATGATGCCCACACCCGGCAATGAACAAGTCCACCGCTCCAGGATCTCTAAGCACCACCCCCACCACGTCGCTGTGTCGAGGAGATTTGACGTTGCAAAGTAATGTTTGCACAATATAAAGGAGAAACCGAAAGAAGTTGACTAGCTGTGAAATACACAGATGAAGCTAAATGGCTACTCCTGGTGCTAACGGTATGATTGTTACCGCTCAATGTCGCACGGATGTTGACTGAGATTACGGTCACGCAGTACCGTAGACTTAATCCTGTGAGGGGCCACAAATTTTTGTCCGGTCAGGCTTCTTCAATTTGAACACCTGGCCTGGTGCTCGCGGTGCTCTAATTTGCGCTTGCATGTCTCGTGCCAATATTTCCGTAGTCTGCTCTTGAGTGGGAAGTTCCACGCGACGTCTGCAGGCTGTGAGACAGGCGAAGTGTGAGGCGGAACGTTTAGTAGTACAACGTTGATAGACATTGCATACGATGTGACCATGTCCGTCCAGTGCTCGCTAAAATCATCCCACAAGA